TGACAGATTTCTCTCCCACTTCAAGCAAATAATCTTCTTACCTTTCATTCCAAAAAACTATAATGAAGAAACATTGTTCTTTTTTTTTAATTTCAAAATATTAACGGGGTACAAATGTTTTTGTTACAGGGATAGCTTCTGAGATAAGTTCTATGCTAACTTTTAAAAGATTTCTTATTAACCTCCTCCTTTGGGACAAGCAAATATTTAGTTGATGCTTCTGAGTGAACAGATACCCTCAGAGGAAAGGAAATACATACATGAGTTTCTTTTTTTTTTTTTTTGAGACAGAGTCTCACTCTTTTGCCTGGGCTAGAGTGCCGTGGCGTCAGCCTAGCTCACAGCAACCTTAAACTCCTGGGCTCAAGAGATCCTCCTGCCTCAGCCTCCCGAGTAGCTGGGACTACAGGCACACGCCACCATGCCTGGCTAATTTTTTTCTATATATTTTTAGTTGTCCAGATAATTTCTTTCTATTTTTAATAGAGACGGGGTCTCACTCTTGCTCAGGCTGGTCTCGAACTCCTGAGCTCAAACAATCCGCCCTCCTCGGCCTCCCAGAGTGCTAGGATTACAGGCATGAGCCACCGCGCCTGGCCTCATACATGAGTTTCTTTTTTTTTTTTTTTATTACATGAGTTTCTTAAAACCTAACATTTGTTGTTGTTGTTCTATAACTTTCTCCTTCCACAAGGTTCATATCTGAAGCAGCTAATCCCGAGGGCTAAAGTAATGGAATGGGAGGTTAGGAGACGGAAAAAAAAAAAGTACAATGCACAAGTACTTTTACACAGAGGTGGTGATAGTTTCTTAGGTAAAATTAAAGCTTCAAGCTGGGTAAAAGGAAAATTAATCTTTTAATCCAATGTCTATCTTGGAGCTAAACCAAGATATTCCAGAGGAATTTGAGGTAAGTCCAGCTTATAGGACTCCCCCTTGCTTAGCTGAGAAACTAAGTTTCAGGCTTACTTTTTATAACCATAAGATAGATATTCTAACTGTATTCCTATTACATGAAATTTACTAGTAAAAGGCATCTGTTAGGGACTAGATGGTGTCCCCTCACCCCAATTTCATATGTTGAAGTCCTAACCTTCAGTACCTTAGAATGTAACCTAATTTAGAGACAGGGTCTTTAAAGAGGTAATTAAGATTAAATGAGGTCATTGGGATGGGCCCTAATCCAACAGGACTGGCGCCTTTATGAGAAGAGGTTAGGACACAGACAGGCACAGAGGAAAAACCACATGAAGACACAGCCATCCATAAGCCAAGGAGAGATGCCTCAGAAAAAAATCAACCCTGATGACACCTTGATCTTGTACTTGTAGCCTCCAGAACTATGTGGAAATAAATTTCTATTTAAGTCATGCAGTCTATGGCACTTGTTATGGCAGCCCTAGCAAACTAATACAGCATTCAAAAAGTACCTAGAAAGTTTGGTTTTTAAAATACATTTAAAATCCAAAAATTTCGCCCAAGACTGCCTCTCAAAAAAAAACCTCTACAGCTAATAACACAGCAGTAAATTGAATAATTCCTCAGAATGTACATTATTAACACTCATAGCAATTATCAATCACTGTTGAATTATATTGGCATTGCCTTTTACAAGTCATGAGTGGTACGTGAAGGTCCCTGCATAGTATAAACACTGATGGTTGAGCATGGCCAATAATAATAACAAGTAATTTGATCTATGGATGAGGAAGCCCCATTTATTTTTGTACACGGAAATTCTAACATTATTCCAACATAAACTGCAAAAAACTGGTTGACAACTCTGACTTTTTTCTTTTTATTTATTGAAGGTTTAAGCCCTGCTTCTTTCCAGAAAGCTTTGAGATTGCTTCAAAATTTCAAAACAAATTATACAATAAAAATCAGTTGAAATTCAAATGTACATGTTAAAATGTTCATGTGAGAAAGAGGGTAAACAGATCTTATATGTTTATCCAAACAAAACAAGAAACAGCTTTCAACTCAACAAATACTTGGGGGGGGGGAGGGAAACTCTGAAAGTTACAACTGAAACAAAGCATAGTGGCTATATAATCACCTTTTTAAAGGTTTTTGAAAGTTGGAATAGTTTACTTATGGCAGACAGAGAAGAATATAGCTCCCTTCAGTCTTAAAATTAAACAATGACTCTACTGGGCTTTTATTTTCAGTTTTAAGAAAAGGCTGCATAGGTACAAAATGTGAAGAAAGTACACTTGAAAGTGAATATAGTTTTAGGTTATCTATCTTAATAATAGATAAAGTATGTTCAACCATAGACAATTTTTACAAACTCATCTTAATCCCTTGCGATGTATTTTTTCTTATAAATTTTCAGCATAAATATTCCTAGACAAAAATATTACTTATTCTAATTATTTTATTTTGACTTACTATGTGTCAGGTGCTATGCTTAGTGATTTACATACATTTAATCTTCACCACAATCCTAAGAGATGGTTCGGTTAGTATCTGTAATTCTTGAGTTTACCTTCATTAAGTACAATTCATTACAGTAGGTTTGCAATATAGTTACCTCCAAAACTTGAGCTAAAGTGACAACAAAACTACTAAGAATCAAGACATGAAGGAGATTAATTTATTACAGAAGTGATCCACTCTAGATGTTTCAAAAATATGACTGGGAGAATGGGCAATGCCTACACCTAAATCAAGGTCACTAAGGAATTGTATCAACACCTCTCCTCTCCACCTAGCTTTAATTTCATGATGACTTTTAAGCAGTCTTCTGCTATATATATCTGGACTTTGCTGCTGGAGAGAGAATGGGTCTCAGTCACCTCCAGCATCTGGTCTACCTAGAAGATTTATCCTTTGTTATAAATGAATAAATTGGTAGTAGTTGGTTGGTTATTAAAAGCTAACACTTGATCAAATGTGACAAAATCAAGTTTTGGAGCCCCACAAAGCTGAGTACCAGACCATGGCAGTCATAACCCCACACTACTGGGTCTTGCTTAAGGAGCCAGCAAGTTTCTCCTCTTTGATATCTCTTCTTGTTCCTTATCTTCATATCTTTCAGTTTGAGACAATGTTAACCTCAGCCAGTACACCTTTATAATAAAATTTTCATGTATGCAACAGTAAAAACTATCTAGTCCCCGCCTAGAGTTCATGAACCAAAACAATTTCCAAACAGAAATATTTGGAAGAAAAGTGACCTTAATTTTTTCTTTGCCAAGTCAAGGTCATTAAAAAACAATCTATTCATTTAAAAAGAAGCTATTAATGAAGAAAAAAGGAAAGGCAATCTCATAATCATAGACTTTTTTCTTAACTAAGTGAATTTAGCTTTAAAGGAAACCCACTAGAGAGAGAATTTAGAGATAGGCCCCAGAGGCAACCTAACCAACTGAACAACTTCATGAAGAAACTGGGACAAAGAAGAGTTGATCACTTTGCCTAAGATCACACAGCAATATCCCAAATCTTGGCTTACAGCAATTTCCAGCACGTGGACCTGACTCCAGAACTACTTCCACAGGAAAAGGTAAATCCTTGTACATGAATCTCTTATGTCCTCCTTATCCTGATGCCACTGTTTAGTTTTTGGCCTATACACATTTATGCCACAATATTATATTATGGTATTAGTTCTGCCACTGTAGCATGAAAAAACCAAAGTCTAATAAACAAGCAAGGTTTTCAGAAACTATATAGTCTCCAGAAGATCAGAAGTACCCGGCAACTCTCATAAATCAAATCTCCTGATTTTTCCTGGCTCAGCAATCCTACATTCCACAGCACACTGATTTCAAACACTTACTAAAAGGAGATCCAGTTATAAAAGCAATTTTTTTTTGTTTATTTGTTTTTTTTGAGACAGAGTCTCACTCTGTCACCTGGCCTAGAGTGCAGTGGCATTATCATAGCTCACAGCAGCCTCCAACACCTGGGCTCAGGCAATCCTCCTGCCACAGCCTCCTGAGCAGCTGGGACTATAGGTGTGTGCCACCACACCCACCTAATTCTTTCTACTTTCAATAGTGACAGGATCTCACTCTTGATCAGGCTGGTCTTAAACTCCTGCCTCAGCCTCCCAGAGTGCCAGGATTACACGAGTGAGCCACCTCGTCCAGCCAAAAGCAATTTTTAATTCCCCATTCACAACATACTATAGACAAGAAGTAAAAGACTTTTTGTTTGTATTTGTTGTAGGAATGATGAGAAGATAACAATTTAGTCAACAACACTTCTTAGAGGTGGTGGGACTTAAAATGAGCTTTGGCAAATGGAAGGCATTATCTACATTTTAAGCAGAAAAGTAAATAAGACCTCTTTATTTCACCCAGTTGTTTGACATTATGCTACTAAAAAATAGACACTAAAATTCTTTAATTCTGTGAGTAGATGTCCCCCTCTTTCCTTTGAAATTTAGCTTGCTTCATTATGCATATAAAAAGAAAACTTGACAGAAAACTTGGTAATATCTGGAACAGGTAAGAAGAATCTACCAAAGATACTGTGAAAGCCAATAAAACTTCATTTTTCTTGTTCTCATTAGACAGAAAACAGAAAATGACTTTGTCCGATGCAATGTCAAGCACTGTGGGCTTAGGCTGCCTTTTTCTGGTTTTAGATCTCTGATTATCCTCTCCTGCTCCTGAAACATTTTTCTAGGCTTTTATATTGACTTTTCAAAGGTCACTCTACAGAAACTAATGTTAGATGCAGCCAGTCTTTATATGTCATTTTAGGATTCTTATTTATTCTCATTGTCACCAAGTTCAGGTCAGGGAATTGGTTGGCTCTCAAATTAAAAAAAAAAAAAAAACAAAAAAATATGCTCTGCCACAATTTTGAAGTAAAGAAATTATTCTTAAAATAGCTGATAGTTTAATAGCAACTTACAATTATCATTACAGAACAAACTAATGTCATTTCTCCAAGTGTTCAATTACAACTACTGTATTTTCTCATCTAGTACTAGCTTATATCAGTTTTGTGCACTTCACTAGGGTAAATCAATTATCACTTACCATTAACAAGCAGAGAGCTATCGGATCCTGGATATGAATAGTTTAGACGACCTGAAGGTAAAAGAAGGCCGTTACTAAATTTACTTTTTTCATAGATGTTTTAAATTTATTCAATAACAGAGCTGAATTGACTGCTTTTAAATAGGCAAGGTATTTGAATCAGAGGACATATCAATCAGGATGTTCACCAGTATTCAAAAAGGGAAAGTTTGAAAGTGGGAAAATAAAATATCCCTCATTCTTAACTACTAGGTCATTCTAATTTTCAAATCCCTAACCAAAGTAATTTTCTTTATTCCGTTATGTTCTAAGAACAACTCATAATGACAATCTTCACGTTTTTTTTTGCCCCATAAATGTGAAAAATTTTAATTTGTGTGGTGTTTTGTTACTTTTTAAAAGTATGTAATTAGCAATAATATTTTCCTTTGTGACTCATAACAAAAGTGCCAGGCTTATTCCTACATGTACAGACATGCTGATGGGTTTAATTCATGTTTTGGGGAATCCGTACATAAAGTAAAGAACATTTTATTGTACTTACGCAGGACAGAAAATACCAAAAACCCCGTGGCACGGTTCCCAGAGCACAGTAGGCACTGAACAAATGCTACATTGCTTTCCTTTGAATTTTGAAATGTGTCAAAAATCTAGTTTGAACCTAAAATGGGCACTCAAAATGCCCTCGAAAATGAATTATTGAAGGTACTAAAATTTGGTTGTTAAGAGCTGTCTTCCAAATTGGTAACCACAGATGAATGGGGGAAATAAATGTCACTGGGATTTCTCTACCTTTAAGAAATTACATTTCTGTTTTGGAAGAGTTTCTACATGTAAGTTGAGGTATCTAGATCACAAATCCTTAGGAGATACACCATGTATCTAGTTCTACGCTGTAAGTCTGCAGTCCCCAGCCCCCGGGCTGTGGACCGGTACTGGTCGGGGGCCTGTTAGGGACCCGGCCACAGAGCTTCGCTGCCCTCCACCCCCGCCATCCCCGGTCTGTGGAAAAATTGTCTTCCATGAAACTTTAGAACAGGGCACAGCAGGTGAGCAGCAGGTGAGTGTACGAAGCTTCATCTGTATTTACAGCTGCTCCTCATCGCTCCCATCACCACCTGCGCTCTGCCTCCCACCCTCAACCCCCAATCCGTGGAAAAATTGACAATTGTCTTCCATGAAACCGGTCCCTGGTGCCAAAAAGGTTGGGGACCACTGCTGTAAGTTATAAAACAAGAATCACCACAGTAACATTTTAAGTCTCTAAACCCTGCATGCTATCTGCACCCACCTTCGGAAGAATGGTGGAGAACCCTCAATAGTCTTGCTCATGTAAGGAATGGAGAGGTGAACCTGCTTGTTAATTCTCTGCTATAGTTCAGCACTCTATAAATCAGGAGTAGGATGAGAACTTGAAATCGACTCAGAACTACAAACATTCCTTTAGGTAACAGCAGTCTGAACTCCAACCCCACAAAACCATGATTCTCAAAGGCTACGGAAAAGCAGATTAGCAGAGGCTCCCCCATGCCTTGAGGCTGGGATAAGGCTTCCAAGATGCCAGCAAGGACTCTCTCTAGTTCCACTGAACATTCTTGGAACCAGAGACAGCTACATAGTAACAACTCTTCAGAAAAATCCTGCTTCTTTGAAATAGTCTCCACAGAAATGAACTCATGCCATGAAAAGAGACAACTATCCTCTATTGCCAGCAGCTATAATTAATCCATATCCAAAATTTGGAGTCCAACAGGAAACAAAATCTGAACTTTATAATTTTCCTACAATTTAAAACCAAATAAAAGGGTTTTTAAAATTGTTATTTTTTCCACTTAAAATTTCAGCTTATTCCTATTTAGAGAGTAGAGGTAGAGACAGAGATGGGAGGGAAAAAAAGTGAAAATTAGTTTTGATTTGTTAATTTCTTCCTAAAAATTGGTTTCATTCTTTATTGCTAATGTACACAGCCAATTATCTGAAGCTGGTGAATTCTATCTGAACTGCTTTAACTACAGCCTCGATCTTATGACTTGTCACAAGTATATTTTTAAAAAAGGATAAACTTGAGATGCTAGGAAAAAGAAAATGACCTTTAACTGTTAAAATCTGGAGAGAGGGGTAGAATACTATTTCTGAATCACAACTCAAAGTAGCAGCTAATTTGTAATGGAACATATGTATACATTTTAACCTGTAAAACTCTCTAATAAATTAACAAGAGCTATCACACATACCATTTTTTATATTAATAAAACATTTCTAAAAGATGACATACGTCAATACAGAAATAAAAACATTTAATTATATTAGTTCAAGTTAAAGGTTAAGAGGAAATGTTTTATTATTATATTTCAAAGGAGATATTCTTATTTTTTTTAATGCTAACATGCCAATTGAAACTAAGACTGTTCTATATGAACCACAATGGCTCTTGTTTGATGCTAAGGAAAGATAATTAACAATAAGAATCCAAAAGACAATTAGTAAACTGGCTGGCCCAGTTTAACAAATGAAGTTTCACCTTATCAGAAACGCATCTTTTGGGTAACTTTTAAGGAGAGAGAGAGAATTTCAACTTGACAGGAACAAAAATATCCCTTAACTCAATTATGAGTTTACCTCATCACACACCTCCTGAAGAGAATCCCTTTGCCACCAAAGTAGATGACACTTAGCACTTTTTCTGGTGCTTATTCTGAATATAAAGTATTATAAATTCTACCCTTCAGCCAAGACTCATGACACTGAAGAATCACTGGCAAAGTTCACAGTTGAACTCTGAAAGTGAGACTTGTTTTCACTGTTTTGATCTGCCTTGTGATATGATTCCCGTCAGGCTAGAATCAATTTTAGCCTCTGAGTAGCACATACACCTGTGACATTTCTGTTAAACAATCTGTAATTCTTTCCATTTAAACTTTTAAATATAAGCAGTGATGTTAAGAAAACTTTTCTTTTTTAACTTTCATAATGCTGCTCTAACCTGTGTGCCCTACTCTTCTGTAAATTCTTTCTACAACTAAAATATCTAAAGGATCATCCATAATCTATTATGGATAACACATATCAGTCATTTCCTTTCTGGAAATCTACCAAAAATTCCCATTATAAGTGCCATGGGAATTTTAAGTCTTCTACATGCCTTTCACATTCTGCTTGCACTCTTTCTTTTATTTCTGTTCTGAAATCCTCTCTGTTCTATAGGTGACAATTTACACTTCTGCATTTTCTAGTCCATGGCTAGCTAATTGACCATCCTCTCGCACATCTCCGACAGCGGCCCTCATTCCATGTTCCCAATGAAGGGTGTAGGGGGATATTTCATACACACACACACACACACACACATATAAAATATATGAAGATTGTATTTATTTTTTTAGAGCAGTTTTAGGTTGACAACAAAATGGATAGGCAAGTACAGAGATTTCGAATATCCTTCCCTGTCCCCACACATGCACAGCCTTCCCCATTATCAACATCCCCCACCAGAGTGGTACATTTATTACAACTTATTAACCTACATCAACACAACACTATCACCCAAAGTCCACAGTTTAGAGTACATTCTTGGTGTTGTATATTCTATAGGTTTGAAAACATGTATAACAACATGAATTCATCATTATAGTATCATAGTTTCACTGCCCCCAAAATTCCCTGTGCTCCACCTACTCATCCCTTCTCCCTGCCACTCTCAACCTCTGATCTTTTTTCTCTCTCCATAGTTTTGCCTTTACCAGAATGTCTAGAGTTGGAATCACAGTGTAGACTTTTCAGATCAGCTTCTTTCACTTAGTAATATGCATTTAAGGTTTCTCTATGTCTTCTCATGGCTTGATAGCTCATTTCTTTTTAGTGCTAAATAATATTCCATTGTCGGGATGGACAACAATTTACTTATCTATTCATCTACTGAAGGACATCCAAGTTTTAACAATTATGAATAAAGCTGCCGTAAACATCCACGTGCAGGTTTTTTTATGAGTGTAAGTTTTCTCAAGGGTTTTCTCAAATCTTGTTTTTTCAGGCTCAACTTTTTACAAGACACTATTCCCAAAAGGGAAAACACTTTTTAAATTAACTCACCTAATTTTATTTGTAGCTACAAAACAATATCCAGCCTTTTCACCTAGTCATTTCACCTTCTGGCTAACTTTCTTATCTGTTTACATAACAGCCCCTCTTTAGAACTTGAGCATTTTTTTTTAACTTAGGCATCCTGAGTTTCCTGTTTGGGCACCGGGTGAGCATTCAATGAGTTCATGCTACTGAACTTAAAACATCGGCATTTCATATATAAATAAAGGGTAACAAAATAAAAATAATTAAGATAACTGAATATGACTATAACCCAGTGTCTGTGGTTTTGTTTGATTTTTTGATAATTCATCTATCTATAATCATAACCCAGGTTTTGGCACATTTAGAATTGAATTGTTTAAGGCAGAAGGAAGGCATTAGGATTTCAGGCACCTGAACCTAATTAGTGGGTAAAATTCAATCTTTGAATGCTCTTGGTATTGAGTGTGTTATAAATATAAAAAACACTGCCTGATCAGCAGCCCTAATCTTAAGGGACATTATGAAAGGAAAAGTCGTAGTCTCCAGAGGTCAGCTGTGGCATTTGGAGCCAGAAGCCTGGCATACATCATGCAGAAGGCATAGGCTATATTTGGCGACATGACTCACCTTAGCCAAATATAGGCAACAGACACAGTATGACTCTGGGGATCCACATTACCAAATTCTACATATCCGTACACCAAGCAGGTAATTCTATGCTAGGTATCTGCGATTTGGAGAGAAGCAATATTTACCGAACAGACTGACTTAGAATAGGTAGGAGGAGGAGGTGCTCAAAAGAACAGTATGTACTATCATATTCTTTTAAGGCGCTAAAGTAACCTAGCCAAAGAGATGAAAGAAGAAAAGACTAGAAGAAAATATTCTTTTATATCAGCAATATGTGTATTACTTTCATAATTAGGTAAAATAAAAGTTATTTTCTAAAGAGTAACCCAGATATTATTGTTACTGATGATTCAATA